GAAGGAAGGAAGGAAGGAAGGAAGGAAGGAAGGAAGGAAGGAAGGAAGGAAGGAAGGAAGGAAGGAAGCATTTGAAGTCTTTCTGGTTAGTATAGAGAACACACCCACAATTCCATCATTCTGGACAAAGGACTCTAGCACAGGAGGATAGTGAGTTTGAAGTTAGCATGGGCAGGAGAGACAGGGACAGGGACAGAGACAGATGAACCCGGTCTCAAAAAGGAAAATGATCCCGACTTGTTAGAAAAACCTACTAATGTACAGCCAAGTGAAGTGCTGCAAGGATTTGTTTTAAAATACTCCACATATATTCATGAATTATTTTTGCAAGTAGGTAATTAAACTTCAAAAAGAAAAATACATATACACTTAGTGAATTTTCTGACAAAATATACGGAAATGTGGGTTTAGAATGATGCCTAAAAATCAATGGTTGCCTCCAAGATTGTTTGAGCTTTACTGGGGGATTGGTATTTACATTGTCATATTTAGACTATCATTTGTATTAGTTACTTTTCTCAACAAGGAGCAAGCTAAGGGAGGAGTGGTCACCTTCGGATCAGGGGACGCAGTACATTACAGCAGCAGTTCCAGGTGGTGAGGATGTATGACCAGGACTCCACCTCACATCTCGTCAGAGCAGGAGGCAGAGGAAGGTTGCTCATTTAGTCCTCTCCTTCTTTCCCTTTTATTTAGTCTGGGCCCTCAACCCATGGGACAGTGCCACACACATCCAGGTCAGTCTTCCCTTTTCTAATAAACATCTCTGGAAAAATCCCTCACAGACAGACTCAGAGGGGTATCTCCTAGGTGATTCTAAATCCAGTCAAGTGAACAATAAAGATTAGCCCTCATACCATTGATGTCAAAATGTACGTTATAAAATGTGACATGGGCGGAACTGTATCCTCAGAAACATGTGTCTGTATTTGGCAGTATAGCCACAAAGGAGATAAATTCAAGTATGATCTTAGGGCCTTAACCCAATATAACTGAGATTACTATAAAAGGGAAAAGCTGGGCACAGAGGTAAGACCATATAAAGACAGAGGGAGAAGAAGACAGAGAGCAGGTCTCAGAAGAAACAACCCAGCCAACACCTTGGTCCTGGAACAACCCAAGCTATATTTCCGATAAAGTAAATTTTGTCTTGTCTAAGCTTCTGGGTATAAGGTACTCCTTAATGACAACTCCGGCTGAGTACCAGGATCCACAATTAATTTACCTTTCCTTAACTTGACTTATGTGTCTACCCTCTGAACTAGTAAAAACAGAATGATTCAGAATATGAGCATTTTATTTTTCATTAATAGTGTTTTATAACTTTCTATCAATTTGAAATGTTAAATACTGATGTACCCGGTGTGACAGTGAAAAAGAGGACACAGTCCCAACACCACCAGTGACAAAACCGAAGCTGAGCCAGAAGGGGGCTCGCCGGCAGCATGCACATCACTTCCCATGCTCAGAAAACAGAAACGACATGTACACCAAAACCACCTAATTTATTGTGACATCTAAAAGAAAGCTCCACAGAGAAGCCCTGTCTAAAAAAAAAAAAAAAGGAAGGAAGGAAGGAAAAAAGAAAAGAAAAAGGAGAAAAAGAAAATGTTCTCCCAAATGGGCATGGTAGCTCCTTCCTTTAATCCCAACACTTAGGAAGCAGAAGCAGAAGTATCTTGAGTTCCAGGCCACACTGGTGTACACACACACAGGGGGAGGGGGAGGAAGAAGAAAAAAATAGAATTAGGGTGTTCTCCTTTGTAATGTGTAGCATAGGCTCACAATGCTGAAAAGTGCAGCAAACATCAATTCCTCAGGGCTTTCTGAGGAAAGGGAACTGGGCAGGAAGGAGATGCTAAGTGCCCAGCACTGAGTCTGCTCTCCACAGCCCAGATTCCCAGTACCTGCAGCGTGACCATCAGAAAGACAGTGGCTGCCATGCACAGGCAAGACGCCAGAAGCTTCCTCCTCTGAATCCGCACCATGCTGCCCCGTCCTGGGTGACTGATCAAGGGCTGGCCTGGCCACCAGGTGTCCTCCAGTCAGCCCACAGCCAGAGACAACCTCACATGGAGGAACCATCTGGGTGCCAATTTCCTGCTGGGAGCTGGTCTCCATGAAGGACTGAGATACGAGGTTCCGAGGTTCCGAGTGGGGCTGGCTTGATGCTGGGAGGGAACGGCATGCAGTCTTCTTAGGCTATCATCAGAGCAGCTGGAGTCCTCGGACACAGCAGCATCCAAAAACACTGCAAGGAATGAATAATCTTTTAGCCACAGTGCAGAGCTGACAGACATGGGCTTACTGCATAAAAGCACAGAAATCTTAAACTAAAAGGAACCTTTTAGATCATACACCTCATTATACCTAATACTTAATCATACATATACCTAATCATACATATGGCTGATACCTCACGCAGAAATAAAGCAACTGAGACCAGAACGGTTACCTAACTTGCTCAAGGCCACACAGCCCCATCAACTCTCATGTCTCCCTAATCTCCCCCTAATTTCTCTGCCATTGGAAGACTGGATTCCAAGGTTACTTAGATGAAGTCACTTCCTAACCAGGTCTCAAAGGAATAAAGAAACAGACCGCACATCCACTTCTGAAAAAGCTAGGGGGAAAAATAATAATAAAGGTTCAGGTTTGGGTTAAGAAGGGGATAGTGACCAACTAGAGAAACCAACCAGCTCATGGAGGAATTCTGTTTACTGGATCATCTACTGAGACTTTAGTGGAAAGCACAACAAAGCAGGAGGTAGTGTGGGCAATATGAGCTTCTGGAAGCTTCAGGTGAGGTTTCCATGTATCTGAATTGGCTGCTCTTTTTGGCGTTTGGAGGACAGGTCCTCATGAAGCCAGGCTGGCTTCAAACTCACTGTTGCGGCCAAAGATAGCCCTGAACCTCTGATCTCTTCCCCACCGGATTCTACCTCCTAAATGCTGGGATGATCGGTGTCCACCAGTATGCCCAGATTGACAAAAATAACAACAACAACACACCACCACAAGCAATCAAAATGCAGAGCCGTGGAATCCGGTTGGTCCCAACTGTTACATCTACAATGCACTCATACATCTAAGGCTCAGAGATCTTTGTGGCAGAGGGGACCAAAAGACTGCTAAGAGCCAGAACAGGAAGTTAGCAGTGAGATTGTGTCTCTTAGAAATGTAAGAAGCTGCATCCATAAAGTCTCACCAACATGGCTGCCTAAACATGACCTGAACAAGGACAACATCAATATACATGCTCGCATGGAAGAGGAAATCTCATGGGGCCCCAATTCCAGACAAAGAACTACAGGAGGCAAGCAAGGAATTCTGGGAACAGGAGAACTACTGTTCCCCATGGAAGGGCCCTCAAATTGGTTATACAATATCAAGTGGTCAGCCCTATTCATGCTATTAGCATCATATAGATTGGACAGGTTGTATTTATATATTTAAACACACATGCACATAAATCTGCGTAACAGCAATTTTAAAAAAGAGGTCATGAATTTGAGAGAGAGCAAGGGGATCCATGAGAAGGGTTGGAAGGATGAAAGGGAAGGGGAGAAATTATGTAATTATGTACACAGGTAATTACGTTATAATCTCAAAAAAACCATTATTTTACAAAATCATAACTTTGGCAAGTACTACAAGTGGAAACCAGCTTAGCGCCGAACTTTGTGTATCTTTTCTAGCTTTTAACGTTAATACTATAAAACTCACACTAAATGATGCTAACACAGAGAACAAGCAAGCCTGTGTAGAACAGCTGTCATCCGGCTGGTCCAAGAGGAAAGGCACAAAAGGGTCTAAGAACCTCACAAGCACCCTGCAGGATTCTACTCAGTGCATATTAACAGCTATTAACTACATAAAACGCAGACCCAGCACTCTGAATGCCAGTTTCAGGTTCTGACATTCAAACAATATAAATTTGGGGACGTGACTAAGTATTTCTAATCCTCAGTGTATTCGCTGTAAGTAATAAACTTTATCCTTTTCTTTTCATGACAGAAAGATTATTAAATTTTCATTTTATGTGCAAAAGCTATAATTAATATGACCCAGATTAGGTAGTGAAATATTAACCTCTTAGATGGGAATAAAACGACATCACTTTCAGACCAGCAAAAATCCCCAGAAATCGTGATGGAAGACCAGAAACAACTTCCAGAAAGCTGTCCTCTGACCTTCACATGTACTCACACTGGCACATGCCACCACATTCACCCCACACCAATCACATATACAATCAGATAAGTCATTAACTTCTGTTTAAAATGATGCTGTGTTTTGATTGTGGTCCAAAGCTTTGAAGCACTACTTGGCATCTCCTTCCTTCCTTGGAGGTCTCATCATTTAAGCATAACAGATTTGATAAAGTGTTGGTAAGGTGAAGTCTTTCTTGTCTCCACTAGGTCATCTTCATATGAATCCAGTGGTTATAAGGTTTTGTTTTAGGGGTATTCTTTCATTTTTTTTTAAATAATGGTTTTTAGCTGATGTTCATGAATGGATGAATCCTTAGAACTGTGCCACTAGGTGAAAGGAAATCCTATCTAAGAGTGTGTTTGAGTTTGTCATACCATCCACTCGGCCCTCTGCTGGAAAAGTAGAATCAAGTCTCAAGTAATGCCTTTTCAATTGTATCCTCTAGTATTATAGGTGTAGGACAGTATTGTATCATACCTCTGTGAATGTAAAATAGCTTGTACCTGCTTTATGATACAGAGTAGTGACTGTGCTTTATCAGAGCTGTTTTTAACGATGTTGCTCAGAATGTTTTCTTTCCAGATGATGATTGAGAAACTAATTTTTTAAAAAAAATCGTGCCAGGTACCACAAGAGTAGCAGGACTGTGCTGTTTTCGGGGGTTTTGTTTTTTACTTTCTTTTTTTTTAATGGAGTGTGCTGGATGTCTCTACAATTTTGTTCAAGTGACTGCAGAACCTGGAAAAGCTGTTGTTGCTATTGATGCATAAAATACTGCTATTATTGGTGTTTCATATAATTATAAATATAAATATAAATACATATATATAACTGAAATTTTTGGAAACTAGCTGTGCTGTCAACTTTGGGGAAAAAGTATCCCACTTTACTGTGTTGAGTTGGCATTGTACAGAAATTAACAGCCATATTGGTCTAGAAACGTTGAACTTAATTTTTTTTCCATTTGTACAGGGGTAACGCGCTGTATTAAATATGTAACGTCTTATCTACGTGGGTTTGATTACAAAAACTAATAAAGTGGTTTCCAAATAAAAAAAAGAAAGTAAATTTAAGACTACAACATTTTCCAAAGAGTTTTAAATCTGTCACTTCATTCAATACTTTTTATAACCACTATGGAAAAACAGACAGTGTAGATATTATGAATTCCAGTTTTTACAAAAATGAAACTAAGCCTTACCAAATTTAAGCAGCTGGCCTGGGATCATACTTTTAGAAATAGGTCTAAAAATCAGGTCACCTGACTCCGAGATCAATGGAAGGGAGACACCAGAAACAGTGGCAGCTGTTGGGACAGAAAGAGTCTGGAGTAAAGGAAAACAGAAGCTGACGAGAGATTCTGAAGCTAGCTTGGGTTATTTTTACAGCTGATGTCTCAGGACAGTTGGAGGGTCTTTTTGCAATTTTTAATCAGTCATATCAACTACCAACGAAGAATTCAAGAGTACAAATTCCGCCAGGTTGCGGCAGCGGCGGTGGCGGCGGCGGCTGCGGCACACGCCTTTAATCCCCCTCACTCGGGAGGCAGAGGCAGGCGGATCTCTGTGAGTTCAAGGCCAGCCTGGGCTACCGAGTGAGTTCCAGGAAAGGCGCAGAGCTACACAGAGAAACCCTGTCTTGAAAAAAATGAGAGTACAAATTCCCTTGCATGTAGAGAACCTCAAGTCAGGTTACTGCTAAAGCCAAGAGTGTAGTACCGGGTCCGGAACCTGACTGTGGTTAAATGGTCCCCACTGAAGAGCAGATTCTAGTATGTGAATTACACTCTGCAGCAACCTGCCAGGCCTTAGGGTCCACTTACAATAGCAGCACTCAATCTAACCCATGCCAGCAATTAGCCAGGAGCATGTCATCATGTCAGAAGTCCTCCTACTGGTGAAGACAGATGGGCCCACAGAGAGTACCATGAGAGCCCTCAAGCTCCAATGTAATGGCACTCCAAGAGGGGGAGGCTTCCCCCTGTTTCTGCTTCATCATTGCCTACAGGGTGAACCCCAGTTCTTCAGGACAATGCCCCATAATATTCATTTCCAGGACAGAGGAATGTATCTGTTGATAGGCCGTGGTATATAACCTCTGAAATGGACCCTGACTAACCCACTCCTGAGCCTGAGCGCCGAGCTTCTGCAATGCTTTGCATGGCTGGTGGACACTAGCCAGGGCTGCCCATCTGCTGGGCAGAAAGGGTCAGGATGAGTGGAGCGTCTATGAGTACTCTTCTGCCAAACCAGCAGCACCATCATCTTAAAAATAACTCCTCTTTTCTTCTACGGAAGCTAAGACTGAGTATCTCAAGGAAAATCAGCAGACGGTGGGTGCCTAGCCTCAGAGTTTGGCTGTGCGGGGCAGGCAGGTGAACCAAGGGATGATTTCCGCCACGTCCCGCGTGATGGTGATAAATCAGGGCCACTGGTGTGCTTGACCCACTGAGTTGTCTAACTCTGAAACAGCTGCTTTTCTTGTTGTTGTGACGAAAGCAACGTAAGGGACCATTAGGCTTGGCTCACGATGGGACTAGACAGTCCATCACAGCTGGGAAGGCACACAGTAGTAGCAGTGTGAGGTGGCTGCTCGTGTTGTGTCCACAGTCAGGAGACAGGGATGAAGGCCAACGCTCAGGTCACTTCCTCTCTCGTTTCCAGCACACAGGCTGCCGCTACCTTACTCATTCAGAGCAAGGCTTCCCTTCTCAATTAAACCTTTCTGGAAACACCCTCATGGCATTTCCAGGTCATGCTTCCATGTCTCTCTGACCATCAAAATCAACCATGACAAACCCTGATACTCGATGTCTTCCTCTCCTCCTCCCTCTCTTCACTGGCAGGAAGGAAGTGAGGCAGAAGACAGACAGCTGTACAATGACTCTTCTGATTGGTTCTCCATAGCAACTGGGGAGTTGATAGCAATTGTCTTTGCTGGGCTAATAATAACACCAGGAAAGGGTTTCAGAAGAATCTAAATATCAGACCTTAATTATTCACAGTAAATCTCTCAAGTAGGCTTGGTTCTCCAAGAGATATTGTCACCTTACATTGCATAAATCTCTACGTCCGATGTGGTGGCGTACGCCTTTAATCCCAGCACTCAGGAAGCAGAGGCAGGTGGATCTCTGTGAGTTCAAGGCCAGCCTGGTCTACAGAGTGAGTTCCAGGACAGCCAGGGCAACACAGAGAAACTCTGTCTCAAAAAAACAAAACAAACAAAAATCTCCAGTACACCCCTTAATTTGTGGCTGTCCTTCTAGAAAAGCCACAGCAGACGAGCAGGAATGAGTTATATTTTCAAATACTTTTTACTGCCTCCTTTCAAGACTCCAAGCCCGCAAACTGGTGTTCTTCCCAGGCCCATCCCCTCAGATTCTCCACTCAGCTAGTTATAAATGAATGTCCCTAGAATGAAAACTGGAGCTGGAGCTCAGTGGTAGATCACCTGCCTCCCATACACGGGGCCCAGGGCCCCGTCCTTAACACTGAAAAAGAACATTGATGTGTAGCTCACTGTATTTCTCTAACTCCCTTCCCTGGTCTCTTTCTCGAGGTCTGTGTTCCTGCTGCTCCCAGAACATAACTTGCCTTTTCTGTACTGCTGAGCCAGCTTTGAATACCAGTACCTCTTGCACTGTCCTAGACATCCCCCAGACTTTGGGGGAGGGGACAGTGATGCTCAGGACTGAACTAAGGGCTTCTAACATACTAATTAGGCAAATAATCTAGCCTCATAATTAGCCCCATTTGCCTTTTTATTTTTTGTTTGTTTGCTTTATTTTTGTGGAGTTTTTGTTTTGTTTTGGAGTATTGTGTAGTTCTGGATGTCCTAGAACTTGCTCTGTAGACCAGGTTGGGCATGAACTCACAGAGATTCGCTTGCCTCTGCCTCCAGGGTGCTAGGACTACAGGTGTGTGTGTGCTTGGCTCCATTTTTCCTTTTTAGTAATTCAGCATTTCTTTCTGAAAACGAGGATTTCACATAATATTTTTTAAAAAGTATTTAGAAGGCAGGTAAATTAAAATAAACTTAGTATTATCTTTTTCCAAAGCCCATTTCAGGAACACTTATACATATTCATTCATTGTTGTTACTGTAACAACAACAATAACAACACAAACCCTGGCAGAAGCAGCTTACAAGGGGAAGGACTCACTTTGGCTTTCCCTTTCAAATGATTTCCATTCACCCCAGTGGAGAAGGGTGATAGACAAAACAGCTCCCTCCATGGTGGTGGGAGCACCAAGTGGTGGGTGTTCCCACAAACCAGAACCAGGGGCTAACATCACCTTCAAAGCCCATGCCTAGTCAGCTCCTTCCTTCCATCACCCAGGCTGTACCTCCTAAAGTTCTACACCTCCCAGAACAGCACCACCAGCTGAGGACCAAGCGTACAAATGTGAGCCTGGAAGAGAGAGGGTTTGGTGTAAAACGATGAGAGCTAAGTAAGACGCTCGCTCCGTGTCTTGGGGAAATCGACTCTACATAAGTATAAAAGCACTTAAATAGAGGCTGGGAAGGCTTCTGTACTATGCCATATTTATGCATACTGGTAACACTGGCCAAATTATCATCCTTTCCTTTATTTTCTAGGTATAATCCTGAGGAGGGTTTCTGAATGTTGTGTATAGAAAGAACTTGAAAACTGCTTCGCTTTTAGAACGCAAGATGAGCAGCAACACAGTAACAATGGAGTCTTTGATTCGCTATTAGACACTGCCATCTAGCAGGGAGCCAGGAGATAAATTATTACAATTTCAGAATTTTAACACACATTATTGGTCACCTGATGCATTGCCTTTGGCTTAGAGGCAAGACACAGATTTGGGTTTTCTTTTTTCTTTTCTTTTCTTTTTCTTTTCTAAGACAGGGTCTGTCTGCATAGCCTAGGCTAGCCTCTAAATCACCTTCTCCTGCCGTGGCCTCCAGAATGAGTGCTAGGGATGCAGGCTGTTGAATGAAAACAAGAAATAAAAGGACATGACTGCTCCTGGGTGTGTGAGGAGAGAAGATTGATTGTAGATATGAGGGAGAGCATAGCCAGAGGCAGAGACATCCGGGAGAGTCCAGAGTGGACAAGACTGGCAGAATGAGCCAGGAGTGGAGAGAGGAGAGAGACAGGAGACTAGGAAACCAAGAAGCCAAAAGGGCTGGCATTGCAAAATGGCTGAGTTATATCAGGAAAAGCAGCTGAGGGAAGGTAGTCTAACCCAGTCCCCTGGGCTGGAGAAGTGTAGGGTAGGGGCAGAGTATGCTAGCCAGGTGGATCCTGTTAACAGGTTTAGGACTGTGGGATGCTGAGAGAAACTGGATGGAGGCCAGTGTCAGCTTTGATACGTTAATGGGCACCTCAGTTAGCCAAATGTGCACTACACACGTCTTAGAAAGCATGTTCTAAGTTCTAAGACTGATGCTTTCTATACTGGTAGTTGGAAACTTCAATGTTCAAACACGTGGGCTGGTTATTCAATTCAGAAACCAACCCAGGCCCTACCTGAGAGAACTCCACCTGAGAGTATGATGGACCAAAGAGATGCATGACTCTACTTTGTAGTACGACATCTCTAGCAGGCCCAAGATTGGTCTCAAGCATGTGAGGAGTGGTGCACTTCATCTGAGAGAAGGAAAGCTACATTTGAAGGCATTAAGGTCCTGAACATCAGCTAGCCTTACTCAAAACTGGACCTATCTGGGTTGCACGCACTGCACAACACAAGACACTTCATTCACTGCCTAGTCTACCAGCTGTTTCAGAGCATCGAGTCAGTGGTCAGGGGGCTAATCTGCCGGAGTTGTTACGTTAAGAGGTTATTTCGTGTACAATGTGCTAGCAATTAACCAAAGATAGGGAAGTCCCAACCAAATATCATTAAAAGTCACAAGTTCTGGGCTGGAGAGATGGCTCAAAGGTTAAGAGCACCAACTGCTCTTCCAGAGGTCCTGAGTTCAATTCCCAGCAACCACATGGTGGCTCACAACCATCTGTAATGAGATCTGGCGCCCTCCTCTGTATACATAATAAATAAATAAATCTTTAAAAAAAAAAAGTCACAAGTTCTGTATCTTAGGATGCAAAAATGAGTGTTACATTGAGCACCCTAGCTGGGGACAAAAACCCTAAAAAACAACCTGTGTGTGGATAATCAAAGCCAGCTCTTGGTAGTCTCTTCCAAAGTATATAATAAGTGCACAATGTTTCCATCTCAGGAAAGTCAAAACGGTTAACTCGCTGGACACAAGATTACATCAACAAGTGTTTCTCAGTGAGCACCCAGTTACCAGGGGCAGCTCTCAACACAGCGGGACAAGGAGTCTTTTGCCTGGGGCCTTGTAAAGGAAGCTGAGCTGCGCCCCGGCCCCTGCACAGTCCCGGGAAGAGAGCACTAAATCATACCCTCGGGATAGCGTGCTCCTCCTCCCTGCTCCCGGAGCCCAAGGCTCCGAGGCCACAAGCTCCCACCTGCTTTCAGAGGCCACATCAGCTTGCACCCCAGTTTCTGGCTCTAAAAAGCGGTGCCAGAGTTTCTAGGATCTGACAGCAGATGCGGGTTGTTTGCCCGGGCCCAGCAAACTGTTTTCTCTTACACTCTGCTTTCGCAGAGCGGCGGTGTCCTTCAGCTAGCTCCAACAGGCGCCCCAGTCTCCACTGGCCCAGAAGACTCACCTTAGGCATTCGAGCATCAAAACAAGTCCCCATCACTGTACTTCAGCCAGCCTCAGGGGTGCCCGATGCTCCGCGCACCCCGAGAGTCCTCATTTTCTATTTACGCCCCTGAGCTCTCCCGAAGACCCGGAAAGGAAGAGATGGAATGGCAGGCTCGGCTCCAGGACCATCCCGCCGCAGTCAGCCCGCGAAATCCGGGATCCATGTTTTCATGGATGCGGTGTTTAAAAGCTAGCGGTCTGGGCTTCCAAAAAGTTTGGACCGCCCCTCACCGGTGCGTCTCAGCGCAGTTGGCTCAAGAAAGCAAGCATCAGGTCCTGAAAAATCTGAAAAGTTCTCTATAAAAGCCCCCTGGAGCTGCTCTTTCAGAGGACCTTGATTCAATTCACCGCAATCACATGGCAGCTCACAACTGTGTAACTCCAGCATCCAACACCTCACACAGACATGCATGCAGGCAAAACACCAATGCACGTAAAATAAGAATTAATTTTACATACATACAAACATACATACATACATACATACACATTGTTTGTTTGTTTGTTTGTTTGTTTGTTTGTTTGTTTGTTTCGAAAGGAAGACTCTTGATGACCCTGAGCTATGTGGTGGCGGGGAGAGGGGAACCAGGTGCAGTGGCCAGAAGGCCGGAAGATACAAAAAAAAGCAGCCAACCAAAATGATTGGAAGAGCAGCTCAGCCCCCTAGGCTAGAGAAGTTTAGGGTAGGGAGTGGGATATGCCCTCCAGGAGGGCCCTGTAATTGGTAGGGACTGAAGGATACTGGGAGAGCCTGGTTGTCAGGTCCTCTTTGAAGTGTTAAATAGACGCCTCAACCTTGTATCCGAGGTTTGAAACCTGACACGTTTAAGTCTCAGGAAACTGTCTTCACTCTCTGCAAGAACTGAAACACAAAGTCAACTTTCACTTAAGTTAAAACAATGCTCCCTGCAGGAGTTTGCCCTGGTCTCAATGTCTTAGATTCCTACACGTTCCTGGTGCCCACGGGCGTTGTGAGCTGGGTCACCTTGGTGACTAAGTCAGTCCTCACTAATGAGATTCGACCCCTTATGAAAAAGTAGGGGCGCCCACTTCAAACACTGTCAGTGTACACATTCAAATCCTAACAGGTATGTTACACACTGGCATGGCTAATTGTTTTAAAAAAAAAAAAAAAGCATCTGAAGTGGTCTGGTTTAATGTTTGTTTGTTTGTTTGTTTTTGTTTTTTGGACACAAAGTTTCTCCTGGCTGTCCTGGAACTCACTCTGTAGACCAGGCTGGCCTGAACTCAGAGATCTGCCTGCCTCTGCCTCCTGAGTGCTGGGATTAAAGAAATACACTGTCCAGCTTGAAGTGGTCTGTGGTGTTCTTGTGTTGTTGCTAACAAGACCACTGTGGCACTGACCTTGGGACAATGTGGTGCGTAAAGGCTGTAGAAAAAAAAAACAAACAGTAATACTGCGTGTATTTGCCCAAATTTAGTTACTGTATGCTGAGTCCCAATATGGACACAAATAAAAAGCACAGTGTGCTTTCCGATCAATCATTCTTGAGGCTGAATGGGAATATTCAGGAGACACGTGGCTGATCCTGAGGAAAACAGAAATTTCGCAGCTGAGAAATAGCCTTACAAATAACAAAAAAATATATTTGCTGTCTATGCTGCTGGGTGTTAAATCCATGGCCATTGTGCTAAGCAGTCTAGATAGCCAGGTCTAAAGAACCTGCTTTACTCCAAAAGGAATCTAAGATTTGGAGGGTTTTGTAATCATTAAAGTAATAAGAAACTGCGTCTGGTTGTTGTGAGGCATACCTATAATCCCAGCACTCAGGAGACTGAGATAGAAGTATATTGAGTTCAAGGCCAGCCTGGGCTACATAGTGTGGCACTATCTAAAATAAATATTCTTTAAAAGTGTACCTGAAGGGACACTAGCCCACTGGAGCATGAGGCTCTGGCAGGCCTTGCCCTTCTCTTCCACCCCCTCTGCCTTGCTAAAAACCATTAGAGGAGGTTGGAGAGATGGCTCAGCGGTTAAGAATACTGGCTATTCTTCCAGAGGTCCTGAGTTCAATTCGCAGCAACCACATGGTGGCTCACAACCATCTGTAAGGAGGGGTGTTTTTGATTAATGATTGATATGGAAGGGCCCAGTTCCCTGTGGGAGATGCCACCCCTGGGCAGGTAGTCCTAGGAAGTATAAGAAAAGAAAAATAGCTGAACACGATCTTGAAGAGCAATTGAGTAAGCAGCATTCCTCCATGGCCTTTGCCTCAGTTCCTGTCTCGAATTCCTGCCCTACCTTCCATTCACAATGGACTATAAACTGTAAGCTGAAATAGTCCTTTTCCTCCCCAAGTTGCTTTTGGTCATGGTGTCTTTATCCCAACCACAGAAAGCTAATTAGGACAGAACGAAAGGAAATTGTTGCGACAAGCTGTAGAACATTCATGCTGCTTTGCGTAGTTATGAAATATATGGTAAACTCTCCCCCCTAGCAACTGACCACAGAGAAAGCACACACACTGAACTTCTGTATCTTCAGATGTCAGGTAGAATGGTAACAGCGCCCAATGGTATAGCTGCATCTTGGTGGGGGGCGACGCAGGGGTGCTTTACAGACAGAACTTAGAAGAAATAGAAAAGTAGTATCAACATTTATAACATTGTAAAATAAGTCTGGGCTCTGCTCCAGAATGCCATGCCTGTAAAAGAGGCTCAAGGTGAGGCTGAAGATTCTTCATTAAGACTCCACACAGCCTGTGGAGGTACATGGCAGGCCTCTTCAGTCAAACAAAAAGCCAGTAGGGATGATAATCATGTCTCCCCTACCTCACAGCAGTTTAACATGCCCAAGGTCATCAACCACAAATCCAGAGAGTTTTATTTGGAAAAAAAAAAAAAATGTGTACAGCTTTTGTCCAACTGAGTAGATTTAAATGGAGAGGCTGCACAGGATGCTCGCAACAGTTTTTAAGGTTTCACATGGTGAAAAATGCACTCGGCTTGAGTTTAAAGGGATTGGAATTATTTGCACTGGAGAAAAAGAAAGAACACTGGGTTGCAGTAGTGCATGCCTTTAATCCCAGCACTCTGGAGGCAGAGGCAGGTGGATCTCTGTGAGTTCGAGGCCAGCCTGGTCTACAGAGTGAGTTCCAGGACAGGCAGCAAAGCTACACAGAGAAACCCTGTCTCAGAAAAAAAACAAAACAACAGCAACAAAAGCCCAGACAAAGCCTTGCAAGACAAAACCTCCAAAAAATCTATTGAGTTCAGTTTGTTTCAGCCATCTACTTACTGCTGGGCATATGCAGCTGTATTTATGTGGTGTGATTAAAGGTGTGTGCCACCACCATCTGACTGGGCACTTTTTTTTAACTTTACAAATCTTTTGTTTATATATTATGGTTTCCGATTTTATTTTTATAAGTTTTCTATGTGGGCAAATATGTGTGTCTCAGAGTCTGTATGTGTTTCTTGTCATTTTTCTTCGGGCTCTTTTGTTTTTCCTGTTTGTTTGTTTTGTCCTATCCTGGTTTGTTTGTTTTTATTTTATATATTATTAGTATTATTATCATTTAATATTACTATTCTAGATGCCTGTTTGTATTCTAGTGAGAGAAAGAAAGGGTGTGGATTTGGTGGGTAGGAAAATGGGGAGGATCTGGAAGGAGCTGGGGGACACACAATCAGAATATATTGTATGGAAATATCTATTTTCAACAAAAAACAAAGATCAAAACAGATAAATAGATGAATAGAACATGATATTCACATATAATGGAATACTAAGTTGTCCTACCTTGTAACCCAGGCTGGCCTTGAACTAAGAGGGCCTTAAACTGTGACAATCCTCCTGCTTCAGCCTTAAAGTCCTGAGCTTGCAGGTGATACCATCATGCCCAGCTATTGTTTATATTTTTGAGGTTTTGGTTGTAAGTCTTAGCCTTTAACAGCTGTACTATTTTCTTTTTTTTCCAGCCCTATTTTAAAGGAAATGAACCAATATATGCTACAAAATAGATACTTGAAAACACAAAGTAAAAAAAAAATATATAGAATTCCATTAATAAAAATTCATGGATTCACAGGAACACAAAACTTGCTGGTGTATGGTGTTTGGAGAGGTCTGGGGATGTTTTGTTTAACAGTGTCACTTGGGGATGATGAGAAAATTCTGCAGATTGATGGATAGTGGTGATTGCTGTTCAACCATGGGTATATGCTTAATGACACCGAACGGAACACTTTAAATCAGTAAAGTGATAAACCTTCAGTGTGTTTTGTCACAATGAAAAATGTCTTAACGTTTAGCCCCCAGTGATCAAACATACACTGTATCTTATTTGTCAGTACCTACCATTTAATGGCAATGACCCAAAGGCCTTGATGGAATTCAGTTTTCTATGGGTATATCTGTATGTATTTCCTACAGAATCTCATAATTTAAATTGCATTGCCTCCATTATTTTGAATACTTTTAGAGGCCTGTCATAAACAGTGGATGGGGAGAAGAATCTCTTCCCATATTTCCATGTCCCAGAGCTTCTGCCTCCTTCCCTAATGCTATGCCAGGAAGATTCCAGCACCTGGACTCAGTTTATTACAGTTCATTATTTTGCCAAAGTCTGAGGAAATCATCCTGGTAATGGATCATTCCAGTAACCTTGCCAGGACAGAGATTTAAATGAAGAAAAATTGCCCCTGTGTCTGTGAGACCAAAATGAGCCATCTTAGAAATAAGACCAAAATGCTTTCATCCTAAAATTAAGGCCTAAGATTTCTCCTTCTAGGAATAGGCCAATAGTTACTGAAACAAGTCAGTCCAGATTCCAGAAACCAGGAAGTGTAAAAGTACAGAGTCACAAGGTAGTCACAAGGTAATGCCTGCCGGACTATAGAATGTTCCAACCCTGGTTTCCAGGGTAACTGACCATAAAAATGTTCCCACCTGAGGGCAGCCAATGAGCAATGGTGGCGGGCAACTACCCCCTTAGAAGTAAGATTAAGCCATGATTTCTAGAAAGCCCCTAGAAGCGAGCCAATCAGAACTGTACCCATACTAGCACCCCTAAATGATGTAACCTTGTGATTTTTCCCTTTAAAACTTG